CGGATCATCATGGAGCAAATGATACTCCAGAGACCATGGGGCATCATTTCTAATTATTGTGGGCTATTTTACATGTTGATATTTAAAAGACTCCAGTATGTTGTTTACGAATCTGCCGGTCCAACAGTCCTCTGTTCTTGCTTTCTTCTCTATCGATTTTAAATTTAAGTAATTAAGTATTAATGACACAGCCTGCAATATTTTTACTCCAGTAATATTAATTTTACAAAAACAGGATGTTAAGAATACTATTTGACTTGAATAAAGGAATGATTACTTGGGATTCGTTGCTTGCTTACAAAGGACTTGTTATTGGGATTTTGTTTCTCAGTGTCTTCCATCTCATTGTTGTAAATAACTTTCATCATTCATCATGCTTGTCTTTTCACTTCATTACCAGCCTTTTTTTTTATCAGCTAGCAATTACCAACTTTAATGCTAGACTTAAAGTGAAGCACTTGCTTCACTCTGCCAAATGTTGCAGTGGCACAGTGCTCAAACCTTGTTCAGTCATGTAGCTGGTCACAGTGGGAGAGGTATAATTATCAGTAAACAAAATGTTTAGTCACATTTATAAATCTAATCTTTAATTTTCAGGAGTGAAAACTTATCTAAAATTGCTAGAATGCCTGTACAACGTGATGCTGTACGATACGACGGGAATCACAGTCAACGTGGGCACTGTTTGATATTAAATCATCGTATATTTGACTCCAATACTGGTTTTTCGGTAAGTAATTACAGCAGAATTTCAAGAATGACGACGTATTTAAGAACTTTCATGTATTTATTTATATATATCGTTACCTCCTTGATAAAAATATATACTTAACTGAAAACTCACACCCCAGAAGTGACTCGAACCCATACTGCCATGAGCACTAAGCAACAAGTGTACAGGGCACCTTATCCACTCCAACATCATGAACGGACAAAAGGTGATGGTAGCCAAGGCTATTTGCCCATCAACCCGCCGGCACTCTGATGGTAATCTTGGGCAAAGTATTTTGCATTGAGTTTTCAGTTGCATGTATTCCTGGGGACCATTCAGGCTTGGTCGCATATATATATATATATATATATATATATATATATATATATATATATATATATATATATGAATATATGCATATATATATATATATATATATATATATATATATATATATATATATATATATATATGTATATGTATATATATATATATATATATATATATATATATATATATATATATATATATATATATATATATATATATTATATATGTCGTACCTAGTAGCCAGAACGCACTTGTCAGCCTACTATGCAAGGCCAAATTTGCCTAATAAGCCAAGTTTTCCTGAATTAATATATTTTCTCAATTTTTTTTCTTATGAAATGATAAAGCTACCCATTTCATTATGTATGAGGTCAATTTTTTTTTATTGGAGTTAAAATTAACGTAGATATATGACCGAACCTAACCAACCCTACGTAACCTAACCTAACTTATCTTTATAGGTTAGGTTAGGTTAGGTAGCCGAAAATGTTAGGTTAGGTCAGGTTAGGTAGGCTAGGTAGTCGAAAAAAACAATAATTCATGAAAACTTGGCTTATTAGGCAAATCGGGCCTTGCATAGTAGGCTGAGAAGTGCGTTTTAGCTACTAGGTAGCCAAACCTAATATATATATATATATATATATATATATATATATATATATATATATATATATATATATATATATATATATATATATATATATATATATATATATATATATATATATATATATACATAATATGTGTGTGTGTGTGTGTGTGTGTCTCATTGAATATGACAGCATATTCCGTATTTACTATTTTCTGAGCAGAGTAGTGAATAATAACTGGTCTACTTTCAAGTGTGGTCTAGAACAGACATTTGCAAGATACTGTACCGACTTTCAGTGCGCTCAACTCACACCATTGCTCGCCAAGGCATCACCTGATACAAATATATGCAGAAAGTTTTTCTACTAATTAAAGTTCATTGCTCAATTTGAATATTAACAGTTTTATAATTGCAATCATTCATCAGGAGCGTCATGGGACTGATCGCGACCGTGACCAAGTTCAGAAGTTGTTTGAAAATTTAGGGTTTAAAGTGACGGTCCATAATAACTTGACCGCCGGCCAGGTCAAAGCTGAAATTCAGGACTGTAAGTATCATTTACTATACATAATAATGTTCGTTTGACTTTTATTACGTAAGCTAATCTTAACATACAGGATTCCATAGATTGATTTAGAATAAAGTAATTACATAAACATTGTTAACATCGCCACCATGAACTCAACCTTGTTTTGTATTTTAATTCAGTTGAACCCTCAATTTTATGCATTTTAAATGCAGTGTGCTTTGTTCTCTATTTTTTTAACCTTTACTCACTTATTAACAAACTGATTCCATATACATGAATCAGGAATATAGGAATCTATTTGGGTTATTTTCTTCCTTTTCTCATTTACATGAATACAGTCTCTTTACTACACTACCATCATCGTAATTTAATAATGTTTATTTAAGACGCTTATCTTGTTTAGTGATAAAAGTACATGTACAGTGCAACCACAGTTCAACGAGCTATATGAGACAAACCTAGTGAGGGACATTGCAACCAGAGATGCCTTCAGGAAGCATTTGTGAAAGGGAATATTTTTAAAGACAAGAAAAATACATTGCTTCACCTGCTTCTTTCTTGTAAGGTTGCTTCCTTCTACAAAAATCACTAAAAATGTGATTAAAGGTATATTAGGAGTTAACATTTAGAGTTAACTCTAAAAATTGTTATGCTCTATTGGCAAATTTTACTGAGCGAAATTTCAATTTTAATATATCACATGATGGACAGATTTCCCACAGGCCTGTGAACTTTGGCAATGCATTCTAATCAAAGCTGTACATACCCCACATTCCCTTCCCCGAAGCTCCAAACACTTATTGGGCAAAGCCGGTGAGATAATCTGGCCTGGAAAGTGTGTAATGGAGAGATTCAACATGAAAAGAATTTATAAATGTTTGGCTATGTGTGGAAACAAGATCTTTTATCTACATTATTTGATTTACTACATAAATGTTCGATGACTTGTTCTTACATGCCAACTGATTGAAATGCAGTAAAAGGGTTCAGTTTTGCCTGCATTCATCTTCAGCCGTCGTCTGCTGAATATATCTATAAAGTGTCAACTAATATACGTACAGTATATCTTATTTTCTACCAGAACTCCTCAACCACTTGGACTGGATGGTAGAGCGACGTTCTACAGTTCCGCTAGAAGCGATTCTTGCAGGACGGCATTCAGTCCCTACCCGTCCAAATGGTTGAACGCCATTGCTTTCCTTCGTTCTCTTCTAAATCCTTATCCTCATATCCCTTCCTTGTGCTATATTGTCATGATGGCTTAGTGCTCCTTCCTGATAAGTACCTTACCAAGAGAACTGCTTCAATTTGAATTATGTATTTAATTAATCCCCATCTCTCCTTCATGTCCCCCATCCATATATACATTGAAGAATGAACAGCCATGGGGATATTATATTATAGGCATACTCAAACATTGAATCATTCATTGCACCATTAAGCCTTACATATGCTCTACTTTCTGAATAAAGGCCCCCCTCACAGCAAATGAACAAAATAAAATTGTATTCGGCTTTCTGAATAAGAGCCCCCCCCCCTCCCCACACAGCATTTAATAACATTTTATAACTCCATACATGCACATTCGAGCCAAGAGACACTTGTTATTAACTTTCGAAAATGCCTTCTAAATGATCATGAAGATATATATATATATATATATATATATATATATATATATATATATACAACTTTAGAACACTTTCCCACCAGGAGACTCGAACCCTAGCCAGCACAGAAGCCTTCCAGCAACTGGCATAACAGGTACGCCTTAACCCTCTGCACCACCGCTCAGACCCTTAAGAGCACCAGAGCAAGTGAGGGGTCATTTAGACGTTAATTTCATCAAGTCCCTGTTAATATGGGAAGACACAGTGTCTCTGCTTAAGGCACAACTCTCCTAAACACGAGAGTTAAGTATACAACTTTAGAACACTTTCCCACCAGGAGACTCGAACCCTAGCCAGCACAGAAGCCTTCCAGCAACTGGCATAACAGGTACGCCTTAACCCTCTGCATCACCGCTCAGACCCTTAAAAGAGATGGTAATTTCGGAGTATTTAAATCCCCCAAAGATCAACACCTCCCAAGAGCACCAGAGCAAGTGAGGGGTCATTTAGACGTTAATTTCATCAAGTCCCTGTTAATATGGGAAGACACAGTGTCTCTGCTTAAGGCACAACTCTCCTAAACACGAGAGTTAAGTATACAACTTTAGAACACTTTCCCACCAGGAGACTCGAACCCTAGCCAGCACAGAAGCCTTCCAGCAACTGGCATAACAGGTACGCCTTAACCCTCTGCACCACCGCTCAGACCCTTAAAAGAGATGGTAATTTCAGAGTATTTAAATCCCCCAAAGATCAACACCTCCCAAGAGCACCAGAGCAAGTGAGGGGTCATTTAGACGTTAATTTCATCAAGTCCCTGTTAATATGGGAAGACACAGTGTCTCTGCTTAAGGCACAACTCTCCTAAACACGAGAGTTAAGTATACAACTTTAGAACACTTTCCCACCAGGAGACTCGAACCCTAGCCAGCACAGAAGCCTTCCAGCAACTGGCATAACAGGTACGCCTTAACCCTCTGCACCACCGCTCAGACCCTTAAAAGAGATGGTAATACCATCTTTAAATACTCCGAAATTACCATCTCTTTTAAGGGTCTGAGCGGTGGTGCAGAGGGTTAAGGCGTACCTGTTATGCCAGTTGCTGGAAGGCTTCTGTGCTGGCTAGGGTTCGAGTCTCCTGGTGGGAAAGTGTTCTAAAGTTGTATACTTAACTCTCGTGTTTAGGAGAGTTGTGCCTTAAGCAGAGACACTGTGTCTTCCCATATTAACAGGGACTTGATGAAATTAACGTCTAAATGACCCCTCACTTGCTCTGGTGCTCTTGGGAGGTGTTGATCTTTGGGGGATTTAAATACTCCGAAATTACCATCTCTTTTAAGGGTCTGAGCGGTGGTGCAGAGGGTTAAGGCGTACTTGTTATGCCAGTTGCTGGAAGGCTTCTGTGCTGGCTAGGGTTCGAGTCTCCTGGTGGGAATGTGTTCTAAAGTTGTATACTTAACTCTCGTGTTTAGGAGAGTTGTGCCTTAGGCATATATATATATATATATATATATATATATATATATATATATATATATATATATATATATATATTTATATATATATATATATATATATATATATATATATATATATATATTTATATATACATATTTATATATATATATATATATATATATATATATATATATATATATATATATATATATATATTTATATATATATATATATATATATATATATATATATATATATATATATATATATATATATATATATATATATATATATATATATATATATATATATATATATATATGTCGTACCTAGTAGCCAGAACGCACTTCTCAGCCTAATATGCAAGGCCCGATTTGCCTAATAAGCCAAGTTTTCATGAAGTAATTGTTTTTCGGCTACCTAACCTACCTAACCTAACCTAACCTAGCTTTTTCGGCTACATAACCCAACCTAACCTATAAAGATAGGTTAGGTTAGGTTAGGTAGGGTTGGTTAGTTTCAGTCATATATCTACGTTAATTTTAACTCCAATATAAAAAAAAATTGACTTCATACATAATGAAATGGGTAGCTTTATCATTTCGTAAGAAAAAAATTAGAGAAAATATATTAATTCAGGAAAACTTGGCTTATTAGGCAAATCGGGCCTTGCATAGTAGGCTGAGAAGTGCGTTCTGGCTACTAGGTACGACATATATATATATATATATATTTATATATATATATATATATATATATATATATATATATATATATATATATATATATATATATGACTGAAGACTCACAACCTAGAAGTGACTCGAACCCGTACTCCAGGAGCAACGCAACTGGTATCTACAGGATGCCTTAATCCGCTTGACCATCATGACCGGACATAAGGAAGTGATAGCCGAAGCTATTTGAACCACTTCCTCACCGGCAATCGGATAGTAATCTTGGGCATAGCATTTTATCAAATCACATCATTTTTTGGGGCACACAAATGCAAACAAGCCTGAATGGTCCCCAGGACTATATGCGACTGAAAACTCACACCCCAGAAGTGACTCGAACCCATACTACCAGGAGCAACGCAACTGGTATCTACAGGACGCCTTAATCCGCTTGACCATCACGACCGGACATAAGGATGTGAGTTTTCAGTCGCATATAGTCCTGGGGACCATTCAGGCTTGTTCGCATTTGTGTTCCTCATGTGTGCCCCAAAGAATGAGTTGATTTGATAAAATGCTATGTCCAAGATTCCCATCCAAGTACCGGTAGGGAAGTGGTTCAAATAGCTTCGGCTATCACTTCCTCATGCCTGGTCGTGATGGTCAAGCGGATTATTATATATATATTATATATATATATATATATATATATATATATATATATATATATATATATATATTATGCATATATTTATATTTGTATATATATATATATATGTATGTATGTATATACATATGCATGTATATACATATATATATATATATATATATATATATATATATATATATATATATATATATATATATATATATATATATATATATATATATATATATATATATGTATATATATATGTATGTATTGTCAAGTGTCACCCCCTTCCACCCGGTGGTTGGGGTCGTCCCACGGGTGTTAACCCCTCAGTACTGGGCGCTAGTGCTCGCCCTTGGGCTCCCCCAGTCAACTAAGAGCTGGCCTTATACACCTCTAGCGAGTGGGGAGGTTCAAGCTTCCTATAACTCACTTAAACCTGCCTGTCCTGACACTGGAATGCTTTCTTCTTCTTTATCTGGTCTACTCAGGTCGCCAGCTGGGTATTTTTAAGTAAGCTCAATTACTTAAGTAAGTAATTACTTAAGTAAAGTATGTAAGTAGTAAGCTCAATTACTTAATTTGATCATCGTTATTTGTATATAAAGTTTAAGTCAGTTTAGCTTTTTCCGCCCACCATAGTTTCCAAAAAATTCTCTACACCCATTTTATTTCATTTTCTCCAGAGCAGTTAATAATTTCTACATATACAGTTCCCCATCAATACCTGCATCTTTTTCATTTATCTAAGGAGGAGCATTTCTCTTCTATTGGTATATCCTCTGGTATTCTTTCCTGTATTCTTTGTAGGAGCCACCAACCAAAACAATATCACATTCACATTTGCACTTCTTTTCTCAGTGTGACCTATGATACTTTTCTCAGTGTGACCTATGATGCGTTTCTCAGTGTGACCTACAATGCTTTTGTCAGTGTGGTCTATGATACTTTCAAAGTACAGTACTGTAAATATTACCTCCACCTACTTTGAATTTCTTCTCTACTGATTAAAATTTTCCAAGGTTCATCTTTAATATTATTGTTGATACGCTGTTAAGTACACAGATATTTACAGTAAAACAAAATATTACTAACACTGTAAATATTGTAAGCATAAAGATAGACTGTTCTGCTTAAGGTACACTTGGTATCATGTAAATGATGAAAGGTTAGGAATAACTAAATTGATAATTCTGAAGTGTGTATATAATACAAAAGCTGCCAGTGGAATATCTGGAGGTTTGTCTCATATGTTAGTGTTATGAGAGATATGACAGAGTGAGAATATCAGCAGGAGCCACGAGAAGGATTCGAACCTATGTTCTGTGTCAAAGAGGTGTGCTTAGAAGTACCTAGAACATTGGTTCGAATCTTCATCATGGCTCCTACTAATTTTCTCATTGACACATCACGTTAAAGTGATTTCTTGTAATAATATATAAAAATATTCATTTACAAGAAGGTACAATGGGTTGGTGAGATTACGTAAGATTGGTATTTTTACATTCTTACAAAACCACTAATACACATAGAGTTTCGGCCAGGTCCTTAATCTAACATATCAGGTAAGATGAAAAGGTACATTGTAGCAAAATGTATATCAACATATAACTAAAATATAAATTGACAAAGGTGATTACACTGAAGAAGATATATGTCTTATATACATATTGGGGAAGTTGGTAGTATAAGATACACTGTATAAGATACAATGTAAGTGTGAAGAACAAGGTTGAAAATTATGAGGATGAAATTAGGTACTTTTGGTTTTATTTTTAAATAAGGCAGATACATTATTTTAATACTTTAGGCAGGGAGTTCCATAAACTGGGACATTTTATTGGCGTGGAGTGTTTGCACAGATTTGACTCTGGAAACATCATGGATATTTTTATTTCTAGTGTGGTGACAGAGTTTGCTATAGTTTTGATAGCAGATTTTTGCTGAATAATGATAGGCTTGAGGTAGTTTGCAGTGGTTGAATCCCATGCTCAGATACCATATGTAAGATAAGGATAAATTAGCGCGTAGTATAATGAGAGAAGAGCAGAGTTTGGAACATAATATCTGATTTTAGAGAGTATACCAACTGTTCTTGAGAGTTTTTTTTTGGCTATGTGTTTTATGTATGTATGCTCAGGTCAATGAAGAGGCCAACTAGGAACAAATCGTTTGTATTTTTTGCAACTCTGAGCATTGAACAGTGTGTTAATAGATAGAGGCGATTTTAAATAATAGATTTTATATAGGTGATTTAAAAATAGATGATCTTAAAAGATGCAAGAGATGAAAGAATAAAATTTGAGATGTTAAGAGCAATTGTTTGAGGAGTATAAAAGAAGAAGTAATACTGATACTGAAGCAAGAAACTTTAACCAGATAAATCTTTATACTGTATTAACAGTTTAAAGGCAAGAAGACAGTGGGGAGTATCTAGGTCCATCACTGACAGAAAACACTTGCTGAAAGATGAGAGAGCAACCTTCACTTAATGCACATGATACCTAAACAAGTTGAGATAGGATCAAGTGGGTGGAGATGGGAGCAACTGAGGGACCTCTTAGGAGAGTTTCGGTCCTCTAAGTGCCTTATATCTGAGGAAGGTCCCACTAGGCTGCTTCCCTAGATAGCTCTGCACCGAAAACAATCACAAAACACAGAAACTCAAATGAAAGTATAAATTAGGGACAGTTTACCAGAGCAGAAGAAAGAAGCCATAGAGGACTGCAGGGTGGACATGATCCCATTCAGGGACCGAGTAACACATACTTTAATTTGGGAATAAATGGTTACATGACAGAAAACAAAATACCAAAGGGCCCAAACAACAGCTGAAAAGGTCAGCCAGTGTTTACTGATATTTGTCTGAGTTGACCAACTCGCAAATCATGAGAAACAAATACTGTATTATGTCAGAAAATTAGCTCTTCTGTGGTTAACTATTCAGTATGCTCGTTAAGGAGCAGGATGATTTGCAGTGGTACCTATCTCTGTGGATTAAAAGATTCATTATGAACTTTATGTGGTCAGCAAGTTTACGGCATGCCAGTGAGTTAAACACATGATACTGAGGTTTGCTCAGAAATTGATATTCGTTACACTTAACGTTCTAACTTTCTAAGAGCCTTGATATATATGTTGCTCTTGACGAGGTCAGAAGTATAATTTTGTTTACATTATTGTCAACTTAATTATTTATGTTGCACTTCCAATATTTAATGCAGATGATCTAATTAAATTTTTTTATACTCCTATTTTCAGTGGCTTTTGGTACTGATCACTCAGATTGTGATATGATGGCTATGGTGTTTATGTCACATGGGGAGCAAGATATCTTGTGGTGTAGGGATGGCCACATAAAAGTCGAGTTTCTATTTCAGAGCTTTCAAAGCGATCAATGTAAATCTCTCGCTGGAAAACCCAAGTTGTTCTTCATACAGGTAAGGCTGCCATGTATAAAGTATGCTTATATAATTAACATTAACCCCATAATGACTGTCCTGGGCAATTATCAAATTGGCTTGATGATGGTTCACGGTGCTCTGAAATGTAACTTTTTCCTGCTTTTATTGTGCGTATTTGTTCCAGATATGTTATTGGAATTTTTATTTTTACTATTTAAATATCTATGCCTTTTAATATAATAATAATAATAATAATAATAATAATAAAATTAATAATAATAATAATAAAAGTATTATTATTTTTATTATTTACAAGCAGGAACAATGGGTTGGTGAGATTACATCAGATTGGTATTTTTACATTCAAGCAAAGCCAATAACATGCATAGTATTTCGGGCAGGTCCTTAATCTAACCTATCAGGAAAGATGAAAAGGTACATTGTAGCAAAATGTATATAAACATATAACTACAATATAAATTGACAGGAGATTACAGCGCCATATACAGTATGTCTTAAGTACTAATATTTGGGAAGTGGGTAGTACAAGATACGGTGAAAGTTTTAGGCACGAGGTAGGATACTATGAAGATGAAATTAGGTACTTTTTTTATTTTACTTTTGAATAAGGAGTAGGTTGGATTTTTTTAAAATTTATTAGGGAGGGAGTTCCATAGACTGGGTCTTTTTATTTGCATTGAGAATTTGCACAGATTTAGCCTGACTCTGGGGATATCAAATATATATTTATTTCTGGTGTGGTGATTATGGGTTCTATTACATCTATTAAGGAAAGGTTTCAGATCAAGATTAGCATTTAGGATCATAGTTTGTTACATATAAATATCACATGAGAATGTGTGAAGTGAGTATATGGTTAGCAAGTTAGGGCATCGACATATTTAACATGTTAATTCCTCTGAGCTTCAGTAGTTGGCAAGGAAAGTCGAAAATTTCAGTTTGGCAAACTAGAAACTTCTGGAAACCTTACTTATTAAGACTGCTCAATAGCTTGGTCGACAGATCTTCGGCCACACACACACTTGGCGATCATGGTTCGGGTCTCTTAGACCCCAAGCGAATGGAATAAGATGAGGCACTGATAGGCGTCTTTGTTGCGGCCTCACTTAGCCAGTAACTGAGTTCTTTTCATATTAAACATCAAATGGGGCTTTAATGTCTCTTAGTACTGGATCCAAGTCATAGGTAAGGTATTAAGAAGTGGCAGTAATTGTCAGTCTAAAGTAAATCAAAGGGGAAAGGGGGTAAACAACACTAAACAGAACCATCACCAAATGTATTTTAAAGATTTATATATATATATATATATATATATATATATATATATATATATATATATATATATATATATATATATATATATATATATATATATATATATATATATATATATATATATATATATATATATATATATATATATATATATATATATATATATATATATATATATATATATATATATATATATATATATATATATATATATATATATATATATATATATATATATATATATAGACATCATATATATATCCCCAGACATCAGGTAGTGTGGGGGGGGGGGGGCAGGTGCAACTGGACACGCAGCCAATCAGTGATGAGCAGGCGACAGACAGGTAGTTTGATGGTTCGAGGTGGAGCAGGTGTTCCTGGGCTGCATACGTTTGCGCTCCCGCAAACCTTGGTGCTGTATTTGTTGGATATTTCTTCCATATTAGTTGCATAGGGATACATAGTGTGACGAACTTTGGAGGGAAGAGCAGGCTCAATCTCTTGAAGGAGATTATCGTCACAATATATATATATATATATATATATATATATATATATATATATATATATATATATATATATATATATATATATATATATTTACATATATATATATATATATGCATATATATATATATATATATATATATATATATATATATATATATATATATATATATATATATATATATATATATATATATATATATATATATATATATATATATATATATATATATATATACAAATAGGGTACCACCTCTGGTGCCAATGTGGGGACCCATAGCCTCGGAGAAGAAAATAAAAAGTATTCAGAGGAGACCTTGTGGTTTCTCACTGAACACTAATATTATCCTCTCCTACCACCCCCATTCTTTTGTATGTACACATATATATTTACTTTATTTGAACTTTGTTACAAAAAAGGAGTTACATATGGGTTACAAAGATGGTTGTCATAGGTTGTCGAGTTCCTCCAGCTCCTCAGATGGCGGGCAGGAACCCTGGATGCAGTGCGCATTTCCCCTCTGTATCGCCACACTGAGGCGCTGGAAAAGAAAGCTTGCAGCTCTCGGGTCCCTTGTTGTTTCAATGAGCCTAGAACCCAGTTCCTTCAAAAAACTGGTAGCACTTTTACCCCAGGCGCCGAGCGTCTCAGAAGCAATGGGGACAAAATTGTAGTGGTGATCCAGTTCTCTATACTTACGGGATTTGGCTGCTTCCCTGTGGGTGGCAGCGCCACCTGGTTGTGCAACACTGAGGTTAATGTAGGTGTTAGCCAGGGTTGATACGCACGTGTAGTCCCATACCAACTGCTTGCCATTCTTCCAGGGGTTCACTGTGATACCATCCGGGCGACCAATAAGAGCATCAGAGTTACGGGGCGTTAGGTAACGGGGCTCTCTTTCAGCTGGGCATCCAGCTGTGGTGAGGCTCCTCTTGATGATGTCGTTAACTTCACTGTGCCTCGAGTGCCATCCCCCTGTGCTTTGGCAGAGTAGGCCATAGTGACCGTACCTGTCAGCCACCACCTCGCCGCAAATACACCTATATCTGGTGTGGATTGGGGCAGCAAGGCGGAGGGCCACAGCAATTCGGAGGGCGTGTGGTGTGAGACGCGTGCCAGTTGCCGACATTGGGGTTGCTAACAGAAAATCCCCTGCATGTGGTGCTGCTACTGCTGTGAGGCGAGCAATGTCGTGTTGTGTTGTTGCAGCACCCAGGCACTCTGCAGCAACTTGGTCTACAATGGGACCATCCCAGCTGGATTGCTTGTGGGATTTTGGGGATGGTGGTTGAGGTGATTGGCCTGCACGAGAGGCCCACTCTGCGGCACAGCATGTAAAATTGGGATCATGTACACCTGCCAGCTGATGTAAGTGGGCAGGTAGAATTTCCTTCACAAGGTCGTCGGATGCTGATAAGGAGGACAGGAAGGCTGGAACAGCGATTTGCGTTGCTGTTCGAACTCCGAGGCCCCCAAGTCTTACGGGAAGAGAGGCTTGTTTCCACTGTAGGTCATCGAGAGAGAGGTTAAGGGCTTTTTCTAGCATTGATTTCAGTAACCGGTCATACTCACTTAGTTTTTGGCTACTGTAAGATGGTGAACACCTCAGAAAGTAGGTTAACATGGGGAGGGACAGACATCTGGTGATGAGGTAGAGTGCATCATGAGCATCAATATCCTCAATCCTCCCATCCATCCTCTTAAGGTCGGCGATTTTCTTATCAAGGACCTCATCGATGGCTTTCAACCCCAGGGGAGCTCCTAGGAGTGTGCTGTCTTCAGGTTTAGTTTTATGGATATTTGGCAGAAGACCCTCTATTCTCTCTACGATGCCCTGGTTGGAACATATTATTTCACATTTAGAAGGGTTCAGGGTGAGGCCTAAAACTGCACCTCGCTCCTGGATTTTTCTGATGTCCTCCAGGAGGGAGTCTTGGGAACCAGCTATGGTACCATCATCCAAGAACCAGATGTTAAGCTCGCTGGACAGGACCTCTGTGACTTGTTTGATGACTAAGCAGAAAAGGAGAGGAGCGAGGGGGTCACCCTGTTGGACGCCTTCTCGCGAGTCAATTTCATGTTCGCCAAAAAGTAGCTTAAGATCCATACTGCAGCATGAATGTACAAAAGGGTAGAGGGAAGGGAAATGACTATGAACCGCACGGAGTACAGCATCCCTCCGCACCAAATTGAAGGCATTTTTTAAATCTAGCTTGATAAGGGCCTTTTCGTCTGTGATGTTGGCGATGAAGGCTCGAGCTGCATGGGCTGCCGCCTCACACCCTTGTGGAATGCCAAACCCGAGCTGTTTTGGCTTCAGCATGTTGGCCGCTGCATCACTAACTGTTCTTGCAGCTGCCTTTGCGACGAGACGCCGGAGAGAATTGCCCACAGCTATTGGCCTGATCCCTCCATCCTTTTTCTTTAGAGCACAGAGAGATGCTCCAAAAAAGATAGGTCTTATGGACGCTGGTATGTTGCCAGCTAGACATGTGTTGGTGAATCTGGTTAGTTCCACCAAGAGGTTCTTTGCAATGTCACCCAGTGCAGGGTTGAGCATTTGCCTGAGGTGGTTGGGTTTTAGTCCTGTGAACCCACCTGCTGATCCTGTAGGGAAGGACATGGCTGCTTTATGGACCACAGATTCAGCCACCCAGAGAGGTTCTGCTCCGGTAGCCCCCACTTGTACAATGTCGTCCTCACGCGGAGCCCTGGGTGGGTGTTTCTCCCTTAGGGCTTGAGCTGTTGCGGCATCTCTGTCGGCAATTGAGTCCTCACTGGTGATGACTCGTATTGCGCCAATAGTGTTTCCTTCTTCTATTTTCTTGGTGACTGATGTTCTGATTTTTGATGTCTCGGATATGCCACTGTTGCTCTTCCTGCCGTGGGTGTTTCTCGCGCGAGTGGGAAGGCGCACCTGGTTGTCCTCCCTGGGAAAATCATTTATAGCTTTGATGACTGAGGCAGCTAAGGTTTTGTCTCTCCTTGCAGGGGTGGCTAGACATATGTTGCCAAACATTAGGAGGTTGTGCCATGCTTGGGTCGTTCCAGGAGAGTCGTTGACCTTTCTCAGGAGGGCAGATAATTTGGCTGCTGCATGGGGGCGGGCTGCTTTAGGGATGTGTTGCAAGGTTCTGGCCGATGTTGCTTTGATAGCTTCTAATAAATTTTCTGTGGGAATGAAGGTCTGGGAGGTGTTTTGCCTTACGGGCGGTGTGGGCTGTTGATTGGT